GATAATTATGTTACATTGTGTGAGGTCTGATAATTATGTTACATTGTGTGAGGTCTGATAATTATGTTCTGTTATGTGATGTCTGATAATTATGTTACATTGTGTGAGGTCTGATAATTATGTTATGTTGTGTGAGGTCTGATAATTATGTTACATTGTGTGATGTATGATAATTATGTTACATTGTGTGAGGTCTGATAATTATGTTACATTGTGTGATGTATGATAATTATGTTCTGTTATGTGATGTCTGATAATTATGTTACATTGTGTGAGGTCTGATAATTATGTTATGTTGTGTGAGGTCTGATAATTATGTTACATTGTGTGAGGTCTGATAATTATGTTCTGTTGTGTAATGTCTGATAATTCTGTTACGTTGTGTGAGGTCTGATAATTATGTTATGTTGTGTAATGTCTGATAATTATGTTATGTTATGTGAGGTCTGATAATTATGTTATGTTTTGTGAGGTCTGACAATTATGTTACATTGTGTGAGGTCTGACAATTATGTTACATTGTGTGAGGTCTGATAATTATGTTACATTGTGTGAGGTCTGATAATTATGTTCTGTTGTGTAATGTCTGATAATTCTGTTACGTTGTGTGAGGTCTGATAATTATGTTACGTTGTGTGAGGTCTGACAATCATGTTACATTGTGTGAGGTCTGACAATTCTGTTACATTGTGTGAGGTCTGATAATTTTGCTACGTTGTGTGAGGTCTTATAATTCTGTTACGTTGTGTGAAGTCTGATAATTATGTTACATTGTGTGATGTATGATAATTATGTTACATTGTGTGAGGTCTGATTATTTTGTTATGTTGTGTGAGGTCTGATAATTATGTTATGTTGTGTGAGGTCTGATAATTTTGTTATGTTGTGTGAGGTCTGATAATTATGTTACGTTGTGTGAGGTCTGATAATTATGTTATGTTGTGTGAGGTCTGATAATTATGTTATGTTGTGTGAGGTCTGATAATTATGTTATGTTGTGTGAGGTCTGACAATTCTGTTACGTTGTGTGAGGTCTGATAATTATGTTACATTGCTTGAGGTCTGATAATTATGTTATGTTGTGTGAGGTCTGATAATTATGTTATGTTGTGTGAGGGCTGATAATTATGTTATGTTGTGTGAGGTCTGATAATTTTGTTATGTTGTGTGAGGTCTGATAATTATGTTACGTTGTGTGAGGTCTGATAATTATGTTATGTTGTGTGAGGTCTGACAATTCTGTTACGTTGTGTGAGGTCTGATAATTATGTTATGTTGTGTGAGGTCTGATAATTATGTTATGTTGTGTGAGGTCTGATAATTTTGTTATGTTGTGTGAGGTCTGATAATTATGTTACGTTGTGTGAGGTCTGATAATTATATTATGTTGGTCTGAGAATTATGTTACATTGTGTGAGGTCTGATAATTATGTTACATTGTGTGATGTCTGATAATTATGTTACGTCGTGTGAGGTCTGATAATTATGTTACATTGTGTGAGGTCTGACAATTCTGCTACATTGTGTGAGGTCTGATAATTATGTTATGTTGTGTAATGTCTGATAATTATGTTATGTTATGTGAGGTCTGATAATTATGTTATGTTTTGTGAGGTCTGACAATTATGTTACATTGTGTGAGGTCTGATAATTATGTTACATTGTGTGAGGTCTGATAATTATGTTACATTGTGTGAGGTCTGATAATTATGTTACATTGTGTGAGGTCTGATAATTATGTTATGTTGTGTGAGGTCTGACAATTCTGCTACATTGTGTGAGGTCTGATTATTATGTTCTGTTGTGTAATGTCTGATAATTCTGTTACGTTGTGTGAGGTCTGATAATTATGTGATGTTGTGTAATGTCTGATAATCATGTTATGTTATGTGAGGTCTGATAATTATGTTACATTGTGTGAGGTCTGATTATTTTGTTATGTTGTGTGAGGTCTGACAATTCTGTTACGTTGTGTGAGGTCTGATTATTTTGTTATGTTGTGTGAGGTCTGATAATTCTGTTATGTGAGGTCTGATAATTATGTTACGTTGTGTGAGGTCTGATAATTATGTTATGTTGTGTGAGGTCTGACAATTCTGTTACGTTGTGTGAGGTCTGATAATTATGTTACATTGTGTGATGTCTGATAATTATGTTACGTCGTGTGAGGTGTGATAATTATGTTACATCGTGTGAGGTCTGATAATTATGTTACTTTGTGTGAGGTCTGATAATTATGTTACATTGTGTGAGGTCTGACAATTATGTTACATTGTGTGAGGTCTGACAATTCTGCTACATTGTGTGTCTGATAATTATGTTATGTTATGTGAGATGTCTGATAATTATGTTATGTTGTGTGAGGTCTGACAATTCTGTTACGTTGTGTGAGGTCTGATAATTATGTTACATTGCTTGAGGTCTGATAATTATGTTACGTTGTATGAGGTCTGATAATTATGTTACATTGCTTGAGGTCTGATAATTATGTTATGTTGTGTGAGGTCTGATAATTATGTTATGTTGTGTGAGGTCTGATAATTATGTTACATTGTGTGAGGTCTGATAATTATGTTACGTTGTGTGAGGTCTGATAATTATGTTACATTGTGTGAGGTCTGACAATTCTGCTACATTGTGTGAGGTCTGATAATTATGTTATGTTGTGTAATGTCTGATAATCATGTTATGTTATGTGAGGTCTGATAATTATGTTATGTTGTGTGAGGTCTGATAATTATGTTACATTGTGTGATGTTCTGATGAGGTCTGATAATTTCTTCATTGTGTGAGGTCTGATAATTATGTTACGTTGTGTGAGGTCTGATAATTATGTTACATTGTGTGAGGTCTGATAATTATGTTACATTGTGTGAGGTCTGATAATTATGTTACATTGTGTGAGGTCTGATTTATTTTTTGGTTTTGTTTGTTACATTGTGTGTGTGGACAATATGCTTGTGCTGTATTACTGTCGACATCCAAGATGGCTGCCTGTGGGCCACCTTGATTTCAAATCAGTCCAAAAAAGGTACAATGCACAACTAGGGACTAAGGGGAAACTGCATATGAAATTTGAGAAAAATCCATCAAGTACTTTCCAAGAAATAGCAGTAACAAACTTTTACTTCCAAAATCCAAGATGGCTGCCTCTCGGCCATCTTGAATTCGAATCAGTTCAAAAAAGGTACAATGCAAAACTAGGGACCAAGGGGAACCTGCATATGAAATTTGAGAAAGATCCATCCAGTACTTTTCCAGGAATAGCGGTAACAAGAATTGTTTACGGACGGACGGACCACGGACGCAGGGCGATTTGAATAGATGGTGGGCTAATAAATCAACAAATACATGTTAAACAAAAGATCATTTATTTCACACACAACATACAACAATGTGCTGTTACCTCTTCAACGTTAGCTGCAATACTGAATGAGGTTACAATGAATTCACTGATGAACAAACTGACAACAGTATTTACTTAATTGAAGAATGACAGATGGATGAACTGACAAATGAGTCCATACTTCTCTCTGAAGAATGACAGATGGATGAACTGACAAATGAGTCCATACTTCTCTCTGAAGAATGACAGATGGATGAACTGACAAATGAGTCCTTACTTCTCTCTGAAGAATGACAGATGGATGAATTGACAAATGAGTCCTTACTTCTCTCTGAAGATTGACAGGTGGATGAACTGACAAGTAAGTCCTTACTTCTCTCTGAAGAATGACAGATGGATGAACTGACAAATGAGTCCTTACTTCTCTCTGAAGAATGACAAATGGATGAACTGATAAGTTTGTCTTTATGTCTGTGGAATGATATAAGAGATTTTGATCCTGTAGAATGTCAACATCTATGATTATTATGAAAGTGAAGATAGATAAAAATGGAATCTTTAAGTTAACGTGACACAGAAATTATACCAATAAATCTAGGTATCTTAACACTACAATGTATCAATTAAGCAGGCCTGTTTATGTTACAAATGTTGAGTACCCTTCTTTAGCAAAAAAGGGTTATAAAGAATCCAGAAGGACGACAAAGAACATCTCATTTCGCTTTTATCTTTTAGCATCAGGTATTGATAAAGAGTAAACTTTTCTTGTTTTTGTTTTGTTTTGTTTTTTTGATATACATGTATATAAGGTCAATGCAGTACAATCTTTGAGTTTGTTGATTACTGACTGAAGGCAAGAGCTTAAATATACCTATAACAACACAGGAAGTTGACATAATATTGATTTGTCATTGATTTACATTTAACATTCAAGTTTGTGTTAGTATCTTTGTATGTTTAATATCAAAATTGTATTTACAACATAAATTAGCAGGAATTAATAGAAAGTCTAGGCAAAAATTCCATTTCCTTTAACATATAATATCTTCAGTTCCATTTTCCTTATATATATTACTGTAGTGTAAGTGTACCTCACCATTATCCTATCAGCAAAAATCACCTGCCATATCAAATTTTAGGAATCTTAATTATCAAAAAAAACAAAACAATAATGAATTTAAAAAATACATATGCAATAAATAAGGAAAAAAAATCTATTAAAGTGAAGAAGTACTGAGTTGTGATAAAACATGACAACTTAGCAGTAAGTGAACTGTGACAGCACAAACAAGCCTTCACTTGGCCAATCAGCTATCTTGTAACACCAGCAAATGTTCAAACACTTGAGTGTTAGTGTTAAATAGGAACAAGTTATATCATGACTTTACAAAAAAAGCAAACCAAAATATACCAGATCAGTTGTAAACATATACTGATAGAAGCTGGATGCTGGAGTAATTGTCTGCCACAATACACCAACACCAGCACAGTATCTGTAACCTGCTGTAGCACTAAGAACATGAAAATAAAACACGTTTCCCTTCTCACACAAATTTAGTCAGCCTTCTGGTGTATTAGTAGACCTGAAACAGTTCTCTCACAATGTTTCCCTTCTGGTGTATTAGTAGTCACACAAATTTCACACAAAGTCAGCCTTCTGGTGTATTAGTAGTCCTGAAACAGTTCTCTCACAATGTTTCCCTTCTCACACAAATTTAGTCAGCCTTCTGGTGTATTAGTAGTCCTGAAACAGTTCTCTCACAATGTTTCCCTTCTCACACAAATTTAGTCAGCCTTCTGGTGTATTAGTAGTCCTGAAACAGTACTCTCATAATGTATCCCTCCTCACACAAATTTAGTCAGCCTTCTGGTGTATTAGTAGTCCTGAAACAGTTCTCTCACAATGTTTCCCTTCTCACACAAATTTAGTCAGCCTTCTGGTGTATTAGTAGTCCTGAAACAGTTCTCTCATAATGTATCCCTCCTCACACATATTTAGTCAGCCTTCTGGTGTATTAGTAGTCCTGAAACACTGATCACAAACTCATGTCTTGGTCTCTGTTTTTGTGTGAGTAGGAAGGGCATAGGGAGCTCCAAGGAACTGATCAGCAATGCGTTCAGCCTCTCTCAAGCCACTCAGCAGTGCACCATGTACAGTGGCAGGATAGTTGCGGATGGTGTGTTCACCAGCGAAGAACATTCGTGGTTGAGTTCCTGGTTGTAGGGACACTGGGGTGGCCATCAAGTCATAGTCGTTTCCTGAATAAAAAAAACATGTGCAAATTTAATGCAACAGGTGAGACAACTACTAAAAACTTCACAAAAAGCTCACAATATTAATGTTATCTGATTGATAAATTTCTTTTAAATGCCAACCTAAGCATCTAAACAAATTATATTCAAATTATTTGTAAGACTAAAATGGGACTTCTGTGAAATATTTATGCAGATTGGGCAAGTTGTTAGCTAGTAATATTGTGATTAAAATAAAATAAAAGCATCAGTTATAAATTTGACCTTTCACCACATGATGTCATAAGGGGCATGTTTCCCAGTAGGCCCGATGTGTTTACACTACTGTGTTTTCTCAGGGAGCACATAAATAAAAATAATCTCGGAAACATCGTGTGTCAGGTTGTCATCATTGAAAATTTAATCTGTCATTTTTAAGTGTTTGATTTTGGTATTTAGATTTACATACATGTCAGATATGCGGAAAGTTCAGCAGTTTAGGACAGGTAAAAAAATCCTTAATCCTAATCCATGATGTATGTGTGTTGGCACTTGAAATGTAAGTGAAAATTTAAATGTAAATTCAAAAGGACAATACACACCTTTGGACAGAAAGGCCAAGTGAGCTTATTTTTCTATATAAACTATAGTAAATTTTCCCCCCTCCCCGGGGAGAAATTTGAGACCCTAGGGTCATAAAATTTACAATGTTTGAAATGCATTTGAAGGCCTTTCCATCAATGAAAAGTACTTGATTTTACCATCCCTTGGATTTGGGAAGATTTTTGAAATTTCAGTCTATTTGACCCATTTCTGGCCCTCACCAACAGCCTCTGGGGTCAGCCGAGGTCAATATGTGCATCTCATGAAACTGTCATTTAAAACTAATAATTTTAACCCCATTAAAACAATTTCCAAAAGAAAATAAATAATGTTCAAAAATGTAATTTTATATAAACTACAGTAAATTTTACCCCATCCACAGGAGGACATTCGAGACCCTGCGGTCATGAAATTCACAATTTTAGGAAAGCATCTGAAGGCTTTTCTATCCATGAAGAGTACTTGATTCTACCAAACCTGGCATTTGAGAAGAAGACGACATCCTATAATATACAAGGTCCGTCAGAGATGGGTTATGTTCCCTGATTGGGACAAAATTTAAGTAAAAAAATAACAAATGGCAATAACTCCTAAATTATGTAAAAGAGAGTGATGGTTCTGGTGCACTGATTTCTCCTTGCTGTGAGCAATCAAACTAGGAAGTTTTATGTAGATACTTCTTATAGCTTTTTGTAATGCTCTGGACAAAATTATGACTGATGGATGGTCAAAGCAGCGACCATATCCTCTCCCTTCGCGGAGCAAAATATTATATTATGATAAAATATTGCTTGACAGGCCTATAATGACCTATATATGACTTAATCTTGTATTACCTGAAGAGCCAGCAGCAACATATGAGTAGGATCCCCTGGCCCAGGGGTCAGCTCTCCACCGTGTCACTAGAGTCTCTTTAGGCTGCAGGTAAACAAAACAATATTTACAAATATGCAAAAGAGGGTAAGGAAAGGTGATTGGGCTTACACAATTGGGTAAGGGAAGATGATTGAGCTTACACAAGTGGGTAAGGGAAGGTGATTGGGCTTACACAAGTGGGTTAGGGAAGGTAACTGAGCTTACACAAGTGGGTAAGGGAAGGTGATTGGGCTTACACAAGTGGGTTAGGGAAGGTAACTGAGCTTACACAAGTGGGTAAGGGAAGGTGATTGGGCTTACACAAGTGGGTAAGGGAAGGTGACTGAGCTTATACAAGGGGGTAAGGGAAGGTGACTGAGCTTACACAAGTGAGTAAGGGAAGGTCATTGGGCTTACACAAGGGGGTAAGGGAATGTGATTGAGCTTACACAAGTGGGTAAAGGAACAGGGGGAATGTTTTTATAATATTTCAGCCTCTAACTTGGATATCTATGTTTTATGAGGTATGATTGGATGAGGGGTTCTCAAGGGAATAGGATCAAGGGTTTGATAATTTCAGTCTATCACCTGTGACATTGCCATGGTTTAAAAGGGCGGGGGTTAAGGAAAATGTTAAATAATTTCAGCTTCTCACCTGTGGCACAGCATTGTTGCCAAAAATTCCTTTAAGGACAGCAATAGAACGACCAACGATGACATCATCACTGACATTCTCCATAATGGCAGCAGCTTCCCCTGCCACCAGAGCCAGCAGTACAGGAGCTTTGTATAAGTTCCAGAACAGAAACAGCTCCCCACGACTTGCTGTCGTACTGCCCACATGACCAAACAGGTTTGCATTTGGATCCCAGAAAACACGGTCAAAACACAGTACAACCTGAGGATAATGTAGAGAAAGGTCTCCACTTTATCAAAACAAATTGTTACCAGAATCTCTCCTCCAAAAATCTCAGCTGACAATAAATCTGATCATTTGATGTTATTGCTTGATTCTTGATTGAATTAGTTTGAATTTGAAAATAACTTTAAATAATTTCAAATGTAATGAAAACTATGAAAAGTATGCAAGTCATTTTACTTTGTACACAAAACAGACAACACTATATTTAAAAATTCAGGAATTGTGTAATATGATTCCTAATTATCATGCAGACAACCATACCTTATTGAGATTTCCGAAGCCCATTCTTTGTATTGCTGCTGACTTCCAGTCCGGGAGAGGTGGAACAAACTGGACACTATTGAGACCGTTACCACGGATACACTCCTTCATTACGCCGAGGGGCAGTGTACACAATACAGCGTCTCCTTTCAGTGTCTGGGGACCTGTGTTGTTTTTGGCATTACTCACTACCAACTCCACTCCTTACGTTAATGAAAACATTTGATTTTATTATTAGAAATGCTAATATCACTATTGAAGAAACTGTAATGATGTTTTCTAAATTAAGACAAACTCGTTCAACAGATAACTTTCCTTACATTATATCAGTTGGTAAATCTTCAGAAAGTTTAAATAAGAATGTACTTCTTTTATGTTACATCTCAGGCATTAATCAAGATGAACTTTAAGAAGCTTTGTCAAGACTAGAGAGCAAAATAAGATCAGAGGGTTTGACCCGATTCCATAAATACAAACCCTTGCCTCACTGACCTGCTTAATATAGTCCAGATCAAAACATTTACAAAAATTTTGAATAGAGATATTCCCACTAACCATTTGGGTTACAGGTGACTTTGCGGACAGCAGTGTTAAGTTTAATGTCCACGCCTTCAGACAGTGCCACAGGAACACAGGAGTAGCCATTCCTCACTAGTCAGAAAATTTGATGTAAAAAGTTGAGTATCATAAGCAACAAGAGATATTACCATCAAGAAAGGTAGCCCAATTGTTATGTGAGTAGTCATTATCAATTTTCTATATAAGAATGGTGATTCATTTATCACTGTAGTTACCTGTTTATCAAGGGAGGCAACCCATTCTTTATCTCGGTTATTTCTTTCTTTCTCACACAAGAGACATGGAAGTTTCACATCAGTGATCTAGAATTTTGTATCTCTCCCTGTTTATAATGGTATATTACACAAGCCGTATGCGTTAAAGATTAAGCTTAGTCTCAAACTGACATTCTATAACATTTTGACGTTGAGTGATATTTTGTTCCAGAATATCAGCCAATGACTGGCAATACACATATGAAAAATGACATTTATCTCCTACAGGTTCTACTTTACCTGTGATATGACTTCCAGAAAACTCAAAGTCATCATCTTGGTCCCAGTGTTTCAATGATAACAGGGAAAGGGGTGTCGCATTCGCAAACTCTAAGTTGGCAAAATGCCAGTCAAGAATTTGTCTATCTCGGGATGACAAATACACGTCACTAGGAAAAGCAATGATAAGGGTTCAGTTTTTAAGTTAACAGTTTTAAAGTTACAATCATTACTGATACCATTAAAATGACCGATTTTGATCATCAAAATTTAGATACACAAATTGAAGATATTATGACCTTCACTTTTTGAAAACAATAGGAGGCAAAAAAGACTTCAACAGTTCTTTTGTAAATATAAAGTTATACTGTTGATGAATGAACTTATAATAAGTTTGTTATTCTTCAAATAACATTGTAGAACATACCTAGGAGGAGTACTCTCTATTTCTTGAAGTTTTTCTTCCATCTCTTTCTGCTGTGATTGTAATTGTTCATATTCCTGTGAAAGATCAACATTACTACAGTGTAACAGTAGGTTTTCTTGTTATGTGTCAGATAATGCAGGTCAAGGTGATAGATTATGTAGGTGTATGCATAATACAACACAATCCTGCTTGTTTTGTGGGTTTGCATCAAGACAATAAAATACTAATTTGACTTTTATACAACAAGACTCTCCTGGTATGATGATACGTCATCTATACAGATGATATAAAATATGAAGATTCAAAAAGTCTGATTTTTACTGGGGTGTGTACAGACAGTATAGAATACAAGATTCTGGTGGTCTGATGTCTAGTGGGGTGTGTACAGACGGTATAGAATACAAGATTCTAGTGGTCTGATGTCTAGTGGGGTGTGTACAGACAGTATAGAATACAGGATTCTGGTGGTCTGATGTCTAGTGGGGTGTGTACAGACAGTATAGAATACAAGATTCTGGTGGTCTGATGTCTAGTGGGGTGTGTACAGACAATATAGAATACAAGTTTCTGTGGTCTGATGTCTAGTGGGGTGTGTACAGACAGTATAGAATACAAGATTCTGGTGGTCTGATGTCTAGTGGGGTGTGTACAGACAGTATAGAATACAAGATTCTGGTGGTCTGATGTCTAGTGGGGTGTGTACAGACAGTATAGAATACAAGATTCTGGTGGTCTGATGTCTAGTGGGGTGTGTACAGACAGTATAGAATACAAGATTCTGTGGTCTGATGTCTAGTGGGGTGTGTACAGACAGTATAGAATACAAGATTCTGGTGGTCTGACGTCTAGTGGGGTGTGTACAGACAGTACAGAATACAAGATTCTGGTGGTCTGATGTCTAGTGGGGTGTGTACAGACAGTATAGAATACAAGATTCTGGTGGTCTGACGTCTAGTGGGGTGTGTACAGACAGTACAGAATACAAGATTCTGGTGGTCTGATGTCTAGTGGGGTGTGTACAGACAGTATAGAATACAAGTTTCTGTGGTCTGATGTCTAGTGGGGTGTGTACAGACAGTATAGAATACAAGATTCTGGTGGTCTGATGTCTAGTAGGGTGTGTACAGACGGTATAGAATACAAGATTCTGGTGGTCTGATGTCTAGTGGGGTGTGTACAGACAGTATAGAATACAAGATTCTGGTGGTCTGATGTCTAGTAGGGTGTGTACAGACAGTATAGAATACAAGATTCTGGTGGTCTGATGTCTAGTGGTGTGTGTACAGACAGTATAGAATACAAGTTTCTGTGGTCTGATGTCTAGTGGGGTGTGTACAGACAGCATAGAATAAAAGATTCTGGTGGTCTGATGTCTAGTGGGGTGTGTACAGACAGTATAGAATACAAGATTCTGGTGGTCTGATGTCTAGTGGGGTGTGTACAGACAGTTTGACATTAAAGGTAAAGATATACCTTACCTTACATGCAGAATTGAGGTCACGCAGTTTACTTTTGACAAGGAACTCTGCTGTGATATCACGAGGTGGTTTTACATCAGATGCTTCCTTCCACTGTCTATGTAACTCTTCCACCCTGTCCTTCACAGATAACATCTACAAAAGAGAAAAATCCACAATTTTCATATTATTATATTGTTGTTGGTATTGAAAAAAACATCATCATCATTAGCGTTTTTGAAATGTTTATATATAAAGTAGTGGTATAACTTACTGTTGTCTGATTTTTCTTGAGTTTCTCCTGCAGACTGATAATGGTCCTCTGTTGTTCACACTGTTTCTCCTTCACATGTTTTTCCTGCATCCTGTAAAAGATCAATAATTCCTAAACATTGCTTCTGAATACTGAATCTGTTGACATGCTAATGTACTTCAGTTTACCACGACAGTGCCAGTTTCTGCTGTGATCCCGTGAAGATAAACATATTGACAGCTATTAAGATACGTTAAGTTATAAATTTGATAACATCATAGGAAGTTTGACATGAGACTATACGTCATGTTGTATAAGACTATTGTGTTGTATAAGACTATAAGTCATGCTGTATAAGATTATAATTCATGTTGTATAAGACTATAAGTCATGTTGTATAAGAGTATTGTGTTGTATAAGACTATAAGTCATGCTGTATAAGACTATAAGTCATGCTGTATAAGACTATAAGTTATGTTGTATAAGACTATTATGTTGTATAAGACTATAAGTTATGTTGTATAAGACTATTATGATGTTGTATAAGACTATAAGTTATGTTTTATAAGACTTTTATGTTGTATTATACTATAAGTTATGTTGTATAAGACTATCATGTTGTATAAGACTATAAGTAATGTTGTATAAGACCATAAGTCATGTTGTATAAGACTATTGTGTTGTATAAGACTATAAGTCATGCTTTATAAGATTATAAGTCATGTTGTATAAGACTATAAGTCATGTTGTATAAGAGCATTGTGTTGTATAAGACTATAAGTCATGCTGTATAAGACTATAAGTTATGTTGTATAAGACTGTAAGTTATGTTGTATAAGACTGTAAGTTATGTTGTATAAGACTATTATGTTGTATAAGACTATAAGTTATGTTGTATAAGACTATTATGTTGTATAAGACTATAAGTCATGTTGTATAAGACTATAAGTCATGTTGTATAAGACTATAAGTCATGTTGTATAAGACTATTATGTTGTATAAGACTATAAGTCATGTTGTATAAGACTACAAGTTATGTTGTATAAGACTATAAGTCATGTTGTATAAGACTATTATGTTGTATAAGATTATAAGTCATGTTGTATAAGACTATAAGTCATGTTGTATAAGACTATTATGTTGTATAAGACTATAAGTCATGTTGTATAAGACTATAAGTTATGTTGTAAACTTACTTGATGACTGCCTCCAAAGCTTGCCCTAAGGATGCAGGTTTGCCATTCACAGAATTGAAATCAAGCTGATGAGAGAGATAGGAGGTGGACTCCAATAGCCTGTTAAATTCTCGTTCCACCATTTCATCCTTGTCCTTGGGCACCTGTACAACAGTGAAATAGGTAAGAAAACAAGTCTATATACAGAATGTCAGGGAGGCATTAACAGTCTTTAGGTAGTGTGTGTGTATTCTGGCTATTAAAGATAAAAAAATTAATCCTGGTGACTTTAGATTTTCCAATGAGTGCTTTTCAAAAAATACCAAAAACAAACATTCATTATAAAAATCAAGATGGCCATCTGTCAGATAAATCCCTGATAAATCCCAGATAAATCCAAAATCCATATTTAGATAATTTACAGTCACAAGCTAAGATAACTGCTTGCCCCATTCTGTTGCTTTCTGATCAGTTATAAAATCAAAGGGCACAACTAGGAACCAAGGAGAACTTACAGATATAATTCTAGAAAGATCCATTCAGTATTTCTCAAAAAATAGGTGTAACAATTTAATGACAGATGCAAGGTGAACCAGACTGTCCATCATCATCTGATGATGGTAAGCCAAAAGGTAGAAGATGTTCAGTAGAAAACAGACTGACCGTTCCTCCATTGGTCTCATAAAGAGGACATTTCTGTTTGATCTTGTGCAGTTCCATGTTGATTTGTCGACTCATAACAGTGATAGGATTCCCACCTGAAAATAAGAAACATTTGTCAACCTCACAGACATTTAAAAGCAGTTTTCATTTCAGTAATAACTACCATAACTTTAGTATGCAAATATGGTACCTACACCCATCTTTGTATCACAAAAACAAAAGATTCAAAAATCACGCCCTCCTTACGACCATGAGCCTTCACGTCATGAACATAAGAGTTATCTCCCTTCCTCTTATCTTTATGGCTACCAGAGTGGGCGGATGTGCTATAATCTAGCTGAGTGCCTTCCTTTCCTTATAGCTTGAGTTTCGTTTATAGCCGAGTAATTAGTTTATTGGCTTTTTGCTTTAAACCCATCTGTAACAATAATAATCTTTTGCAGACTTTTATTAATTAATTATCCTGCTTTTTAGGCCTTTATTCAGCCTGCTTTTGTTCGGCCTTTGTTCGGCCATTGTTATACTCCACGTACCGCGCGCGTGACCACGTGTTTTGCGCCGTTCGGTTTTTTTGCTATTTTTCGGTCGTATTATTTGTTTGACCGCCTTTTTTGTTTAGCTATTTTATGATCGTTAGCTTTTGCTTCCGTTTGTATCTAATTTTTGGAGTTGTGTTTTTTCACTCCATTTAGTTTTTGTTACGTTTATTTGTGTTAATAACTGTTGTTATTTGCTTATCGTAACAATTATGGCTAGTTCAGGGCTACATCGTGGTTCGGCACACGGGTGTTCTCATTTCTATGGAGTGCAGGACCCCCATGATGCCTGTCCCTTATGCTGGCCTTGCAGTGAGACCCCGCCGTGCGAACTTTGTTTGCACGCCGGGTCCGCTGTAAAGATTCCCCTGTCCAGTCGGCGAACTTCTCGCCAAAAGAGGGATTCGTCCTCATCTTCCGGTAAGAGAGGTAAGCCATCCAGGCCATCTACCCCGGTCCTGAGCCGGTGGGTGAGGTTGTCACTGTTTGGGGTGTTCTCGCTCTGAGCTCCGCCCTCGAGCAGGGGGTGGCTCCCCCTGTCCAGGCGTGTCCTGGTGTAGGGGGGGAGCAGTCCGACCCTGACTCAGCAAAGTCTTGGGTCGAATCGGCCGATAGCTCCCAACACCTGGCGGTGCTACCATCGGAAAGGGACTTCTGGTCACAGGTCTCTGATTCTTTCAGGGACCTCGGCACGCCAGGTGGCATTGTTGGTGGAGGCCGTCTTGAGTCCGGACCGTTACCTTCGGGTATAGGGTCAGGGGCCACCGACTTTTTGACAGGGTTGTCAGTGGCTACAGGGATTAGTGACACTGAGTTCACTAATCCTAGTGTTAGTGCGGGGCCTGGGTTCCTACCCTCACAGGTCTCTGAATCTGGGGTTTTTCGCTCAAGTCCAGATTTTCCGATGCAGGGTTTCCCAGGGGGCTTCCCCCAGGGATTTGGGGCCCCAGGTCAGGCTTCCGGTTTCCGGTCGCCTTTCCCCCCTGGCTCGGGGTGTAGGGGTGCCTGCGGGCACTCAATCCCGGACTGCCCAGGCCAACCTGCGGATGGTTCCGGGAACCAGCAGTTACCCAGCGGTTATGGGCTCAGCCCGTACATGGCTGGGTTTCCACCTGGTGGGAATGGAGGTTCATCCTGGTCCTTTGGACAGGTTGTCCAGCCCCAGGCTCAGACAGGCCAGTTTAGCAGTTCTGAATCCCCCAAACGTTCTGCTACTTCGGGGGCCATTTCGGGCCGGTCCTAAAAAGGTTCGCGGGACCTTTAGGACTTCTGTCTCCCGCCCGGACCCGTCGGTCTCCTGTCCTCAGGGGTTGGCTTCCAAGCCTACAGCTACGGCTATTAGACGTTCTATGTCTAAACGCCGTATAGAGGAGTCCCCCTCTCCGGAGAGGGCTCCTCTGGCTGCCCCTGTTCCTTCCAGGGCGACTTCGGTCGCTAGCGAGGAGGAGATGGACGTTGAGGGCGTGGGCATGGCAGAGGATGATGATGTGATCCATCTGTCTCCTGGGTGCTCGGCGATTGATCCGTCCGAGTCATCTGAAGATGACCCTTCCGACCAAGAGGGTTCCCAGGGGGTAGGGGGCTCCGAGATTGCTGAAACCGAGGCTCATTATGTTCTTTCGGGGATGCAGGCCCTACGGGCCGACATTTCCCAGATTCTCGGGGTGGAGGTATGCCCACTGCCTTCTGCATCGTCGGTGCCTGAATCCATCACCCTTCTAAGTTCTTTGGTGGCTCCTCGGGCTTCCGTTCGAACTGATCGGACTCTACCAGAAGGCACTATTGTGTCTTCGGCTCTGGCCACCACCCGAGCTCGGGTCTTAGAGAAGAATTCTTCCTCTACCCGCACCCCAGGGTTTGCCGGTCTGCAGCTCGGTGTTGGTGATTTGTCAGAGGCTTCTACCGCTGACTACGCCACACATGACGGGCAACTGGCTCCTCAAACAGCATAGCTGGAGTCAAGAGAGCTGGCTGCCTGGCCCGGCAAATCAGTGGACCAGGTGGTGCTCGAGGCCAGAGAGCACCACAGGATGGAGAAGATGTTGCACCTTTCCATCCAAGTTCTGTCGTATATAGACTTCCTGACAGTGAGTCTATACAAGGTATCTGACTTGCCTGAGGGTCGGGTACCAGAGACAGAACAGTCCGACATTCAGGACAGACTCACAACTGCCCTGAACGCGGCGTTGAGGGAATCGGCGGCTTTACAGGTCTCCATGCTCGCCAATGTCGTGTTGGCTAGGCGATTTTCAGTCTTGAAAAATCGCCCAGTCGAGGAACCTTATCTTTCCCGCCTGTTGACTGCCCCCTTCTCTGTCTCTACCCTGTTCGGGGGAGATCTCCTGTCTGTTCAAAAGGATATGAAGGAGGACTCGGTCGCCTCAGCACTTTTGATGAAGAAGTTTCATTCCGAGAAGGCCAGCGCCTCGCAGCGGTCAGCGCCTCCCAAGAAGAAGGCTAAGTTTTCGGCTGGGCAGGCTTCTGCTCAGCCCAAATCACAGCCATGCTTCAAGGGCAATAAAGGGAAAGATAAGAAGGGTAAGAAACCTCCTGGGGGCAAGAAGAAGGGCTCCTGACTCTTTCTTCTCCATGGCCGAGACAGAACAGGGGTCTGGCGGGGTGGACGGCGGTCCTCCCGTTCAGGTCTCTTGTCCGCCTCCCGCAGGCTCAGGCTCCGGATGGGCGGACGATTCGCTGGTTTGGCAGGGACTCGATCTGCCCCATCTGGAACTTCCTGTGGGCGGGCGTCTCTCCGCTGTCCTGCCTCAGTGGCAGGAAATTACGGAGGACGCGTGGGCGTTGTCGGTGGTCAAGGAGGGTCTAGGTATCCCCCTTCTTCGAGATCCGCCTCTTACCGCCCAGCCGATTTTCTTTCCTCCTCCAGGGGATTTGGAAAAGGCTCGGATGATCCAGATGGAAGTAAAGACCATGCTTGCAAAGGGCGCGGTAGAGGAGATTCTTATGTCGGAAATCACTCCCGGTTTCTATTCCCGAATGTTTCTCTTTCGGAAGAAGTCCGGGCATGGCGTCCGATAGATCTCAGTGCCTTCAACAGGCACGTAGATTCTCCTCACTTCAAGATGGAGACCCCATGGGGCATCATGGCCTCCGTGAGGGACGGAATGTGGGCAACTTCGGTAGATCTGAAGGACGCCTATTTCCATATCCCCATCAAGAAGTCAGCACGGAAGTTCCTCCGTTTCACGTGCAACGGCAAGGTCTTCCAATTCCGGGCCATGCCCTTCGGGCTGACGACAGCTCCTTTGGTATTCACCAAGCTGCTGCAGGTAGTCGTAGGATTCCTTCACTCTCGCGGAATAGACATCCACATCTATTTTGACGACTCCCTCATGCTTCACAGGGTGAGGGAATAATTAGTTGAGGATACCCGGCTGGTCCTGAAAGTCTTGCTCAGTGTCGACTTTATTCCTTCCAGAGAGAAGTCAGAGGTTTCCCTATCTCAGGACTTCGTCTTCCTGGGGATCCGTTTCGATACGGTTCTGGGCATAGCCCTACCACCGGTGGAGAAGTTTGAGAAGGCCAGGGCTCTAGCTTTGTCCTTCAACGAACGGTCGCAGGTCCAGATGTGTTGGTTCCTCAGTTTTCTGGTGTATCTAACCGCTCTGGCAGATGTGGTCCCCCTTGGGAGGCTTCACATCAGACCTCTCCAGATGTTCCTCCTGTCCAACTGGGTTCCGTCATCCAGGAAGTGGGAGGCAAGGATAACTAACTCAGTCGGTCAGGAAGTTCGCTCGCTGGTGGACCATTCGGGAGAATGTTCTCCGCGGGGTTCCTCTGACCAAGCCTGTCCCCTCAATGACTCTGTTTACGGATGCTTCCATGGTCTGGGGATCAGCTCTCGGAGCACATCAATGTGCTCGAGATGCCGTCTACCAGTCAAGATGGAAGATCTTCTGTGATTGGTGTGTCTGAAGGGAGGTTGATCCATTCGAAGCCTCTGTTCAGCTGATTGCAGATTTCCAACTCTCTCTGTTTAGGGACCGCAATCTGGTACCTGGCACTATTGCAGCTGGCCCCGCAGTGGAATTTAGCCTTGGTGCTTGATTCCCTGATGAGGTCACCTTATGAGCCTATGGAGTCTGCTCCTTTGAAGTTTCTGAATTTCAAGGCAGTCTTCCTTTTGGCTCTGGCCTCTGGACGTAGGAGGAGCAAAGTGCACGCCTTGTCGTCACTTCCTTCTTGCCTCCGTTGGTCCAGAGGCTACATTGCCATTACTCTCCTTACTGATCCTTCGTTCCTTGCGAAGAATCAGGCCCCGGGGTGCTCCCCCGATCCCATCAAGATTCCGGCTTTGACTAGCTCAGAGGAGAGGGATAGATTGCTTTGTCCCTGTAGGGCTCTTAGGTTTAAGGGGGGGGGGGGCTCCAGATCCCGTCTGTTTTTGCCCATCAAACAGGGACAGCGAGACATCTCCTCCCAGTCGGTGTCTAGGTGGGTATGCCAGGTCATTAAGTATGCTTATGAGCACTCGGATGACCAGGCTCGGGTGAGGGTGAGAGTGCGGGCTCATGAGGTAAGGGCCCTCACTGCATCCTGGGCCGTCCTTAATGGATCCTCCTTTCAGGAGGTCATGTCTGCTGCCTTCTGGCAGGGTAGGGATACGTTCACAGATTTTTATCTGCAATCCCTAGCTTCCCACTCAGGTTTGTATTCTGTGGGGCCTCTGGTGGTTGCACAGTCTGTGGCCTATCCTCCCCTCTTCCTATCTGCCTGGCTGCCCCTCTGCGGGTGCCCATAAAGGCTAAGAGGAAGGGAGATAACTCTTTATGTTCATGACATGAAGGCTCATGGTCGTAGGGAGGGCGGGATTTTTTAATCTTTTGCTTTTGGGATACATAGATGGGTGTAGGTACCATATTTGCATACTAAAGTTATGGTAAGTATTACCTCCTGAAAATTGGTTTTACATTAAAAAATCTCAAGTTAAATCATACCTAACTAAGCTCAGTTCTAATCTTTGGATAGGATGCTCCAGTATATATTATACACCCATCACCTCCCCTAGAGAAACAATCTAATCTGAATTCATCATCACCATATAACCTTAAGAGTAGCAGAGGGCTGCATATTTGGATTGTTTGACAAAAGCCTTGCTATAAAAAGGTGGAGGATTTAATGGTCAAGGTGAATATTTTTAATTTATATGTTATATCAATTTTATACCCTGTACATGTAACACTATAATAAATATTGTACAATTCGTGATCATTTACCAAGACCAGTGACGACCATGGCCCCAAGATCAGCTACATAGTTGCCTTTACGAAAAGTGGCCACTCTCCCACCAACTCGATCCTGTAAAGATAATGTTCAAGATGTGAGTAAAGTAATCTCAGTGTAGTATCAAAATATTCTAAAAGTTCACTTAAACTGTCTTTACCGTGTTAAACATGTTTCAAGAAAAGAATATCAATTATATCTTATACACGAAGAGAAGCCTCTGCAACAGAGGCGAAATTAGTCGACAATAAGGTCAACACCCTCGTAATCAGCAAGGCGTGAGTATGTTGTGATTATTAGCCTCTTAGTATACACTTCTTAGTCTTTGTTCAATCGCCCTTCATACATTTAGAGTATCCATACTGACAGTGAAGTACCCACCTAACACCCACTTCACTGATATTGGCTCCTTTCTTCCAAAGTTAATTATATCTTTTTTACAGAAATCTTCATTGAATATAACACATCCCTATCAAGTCAGCCAAAAACACTGACAGTTACACTATAAATTGGAGGATGATCACTGCTTCAGGAAATATTTAGGTTTTTTTCAATATCCACAAAAAAAATATAATTTATGTTTTCATTATATAAGGATTGGAGATTCAAGTACAATACCTTCCATCCCAAAAACTTACACGAGCTTCAAGCACAATAACTTCCATCCCAAAGGACATGAGCTGGCGAGCAGCAGTTAATCCAGCGATTCCAGCCCCAATGATGAGTACTCTCCCATGCTTCTTCACTGTACAAAATTTTGGGAAAAAGAACTCAATGTTTATGTAAACAAAAGGCACTTCAGTCCTGAATGTAAATTACATTACATCAACAATGACTTTCAGTTGTTAAAGATCAGAAGACATTACCGATGAATTTCTGTTAACAAGAAGGACATCAGGAACTTGTGTATAACACCACACACTAACAGGACAAATGATTTGACTTTAAAAGGATATAAGATCACATTTTCTAGAAGAAGATCCCTACCAGGTAATGGTTTTAGGCGCTTGTACACTCCAAAGTTTATGTAACCAAACCGTTCCAGGTAAGCATGTACTCTCATCACCAAGGGACCATCACCTACAGAGAAAGTCAAACCAAGGAATTACTGGACACAGGATCTTAACAATTCAAATTATAGTAATGAATTTCACATATTTTAACATCAATCAGCCAAAACTCATATTTATTTCAAAACAATACATATACCAGTTGAAAGTACAATGCTGATATGAATAAAGACTGGCAGAAAAATCAAAGCAAAATAATTGTTTATTTGCTACAAATTGTATCCCTATCAACTATAACTATCATTTTCAAACAATTCATGTATTTACATTAACATATCATTTTTGTATATGAAGCAAAATTGTATTTAAATTTCCCATTTGACCAAATCCCAACATTAAGATCAACTTTGCGAACCACTAAAATAAAGGTGTAAATGTGTTTATACAAATTCTTGATATTTACTTGTTAAATATAAAAGTAACTTTTTGTTTGGAATTTTAAGATGTTTTTTTCACATTAATGTCTAATTGATACAGTTCTGAATCAAATTGCTTTGTTCACCACTTGGTCATAACAAAACAAAACATGTACATACTGTTGTAAGGAGCCTCAATCTGGGGCAAGGCATTTTCGAATGTCAGCTGCTGTTTAGGATTCTCCAACCAAAGCTGAATCTGTAAGAAGTACAGAGAATTATAGATGAAAAGATGAAAATTATAGACTAACAGCTGAAAATTATAGAGATATACTTGAAAATCATAGACATACAATAATTGACAAACATGTGAGAATTATTAACATGTATGCAGGTGAGACTAAAAGACATGTGCACAGGTGAGACTTATAGACATGTAGACAGGTGAGACTTATAGACATGTATACAGGTTAGACTTATATAATATAAGTAATGATTTGACAATTGTGTCACATGAAACTGTTACCAGTTTCTTGAAAAATCAGATTTTCGCAATTACCTGTCTGTTCCTCAGATACAGGAACATTTTCTGTGACTGAGGTGGACCTTGAAACACATACCTGTCTGTTTCTAAGATACAGGAACACTTTCTGTGACTGAGGTGGACCTTGGATTATATCTGGGAAGCAGGCTGCCTCTTGGGAAGTCATCTTGTCAAAAGGAAGGCGACTCTGAAATGCTGCTCCTTCAAGACCTGTAAAAATTATCCACATAAATGTGACATTAACTGACATACAGGTGATAATATTTGATAAACATGTGAAGGTGTTGTTTACTAGTAACACAACCTTCAATTCCATGATAAACTTTCATTTCATGGAAGTCAGCAAATAATGCAGCACATCTTATCAAACATCAAACTCAATCACCATCAAACGTCATGAATGTGGAGTTAACATGTTCGATATTTCAAGAGGATTCATGTCATCAACTGAGACAGCTGTAGGTTGCCACCATATTTTCAGCCACACAGTAATTTGTCATCGGTTAATCGGTCAATGAATGTTTCACAACAAATTTTGTCAAGTCCAGTAGCAAGCAGTGTTCTGGAGTTCACAAATGTGATTTCGTCATTGGCATCTCATATCACTTATGACTCTTTCTCTCATAGCTGAACAGATGCAACATCGATGCATACTGATGCATAAGACAGCTGTTGTAAACAGTTACAGGTCGTGCCTACCTATAAAATCTTAAGTTTATTAGTATGCAGTAATTGTAATGTGAATATCACACTGTGAACTGTCTGCATTTACAATAGAACAGGAAGTAAATGTCTTCCCAAAACTTTGTTTACAAAAGCGAGGTGATTAATATTTCTGATATCTGAGCACTATATCAGTAATAGTACCATCCATGTTGATGAACTCTAATTTTGTGATTAACAAGTGTCCTCCATTCATTAAGAGAAATCTCACATCCTATTGAATATTAATATTTTGTGATTAACATGTGAGGTTTCCCCTATTCATTAAGAGAAATCTCACATCCTATTGAATATTAATATTTTGTGATTAACAAGTGATGTTTCCCCTATTCATTAAGAGAATTCCCACATACTATTGAATATTAATATTTTGTGATTAACATGTGATGTGTCCTCCATTCATTAAGAGAAATTTCATATCCTATTGAATATTAATGTTTTAAGTTTTATAATTCAGTCTAAAGTATTTACTTTAAACCTGAACAGAATTTTATGGCGTAATAGTTCATTCAGGCCTCGTTATGTAATCTTGACAAGTCTGTGTGGGGATCCATGTGCCTTTGTATATATGCAGAATGTGTTGAGTTTGGAATGTGTGTGTGATCTAAGTATTTCATATTCTATTAATACATAAGTGTTCAAGTTTATACTGTGTCTGTAATGTGCATATTCCAGGTATTGTGGGGTGTTCAACTATCAAGCACGTGACAAACATCGTCAGAAATTTTCAAACCATTAATTAAGCATAAACCTTGACAATGATTTCATTGACACATTTCCTAAAGGAAGGTAGATTACAATTATATCTAAGATGATATTTTGCTGATCATTCTAAAAGCTCAATGACCATTGTTTATTTTTAGAACCCATAGGTCTTACTGCTTTGGACAATTTTCTTAACCTATGGATGAATAACCTTCGTAGTTTGTACAAGTAAAATCACTTTCATTTTACACTGTAATACATCAACAAGAATGCTTATGTATACGTCAAATGATGTGACAAAATTGCAGTGTGGATGTTGAGCACAGAGACTGTACATAATATGAACACTTTGAAGGAGTTACACTGTTGATAAAGATACTTATATATGATGTATAATTGACATATTTCTAATAAGCATTGTAATGTATATATGTAATTAGTGTAAGAAAATGAATCAATTAAAACCTTGAAGAATTTAATCAGTTGTTATTACCAGTAGGGTCATCATTTTCACTTTCATCAGCAGGCTCTGGGTCGACATCAACTTTGGGGGCAGCAGGAGGGGGAACTGATTTTTCTGGTTTGTCTTTCTTCTCTTCTTCAGAATAGTACTCATCTTCAGAAATGTTAGCAAGCTGCTCATCCATTTCTTTGTATTCAACCTGTCATCAGAAAAAAACATTGATTAAAATGTGTCTCAATCCCACATGCCTTACATCATCACAGGTAGCTCATCATTTTTATCATTACATATATATACATATAGATATATATATATATTTAAAGCTATATACCTTGTAGCACACTATAACATCTTCCAACATCTATTTGATCAAACTTTTCATTTGTACAAACAAAACATGTCAAATTTACTGCTTCAATAAGTGTCATATTTATCTCTTAATATCTAGGTTATGTGCTTCATACATAATGTATTTAAAACAAAAAAAAACATTGTTAATACATTTACTAGGTACCATTCTTCTGCACATTTTAAAAGTCAAATCATTTTTTGAATTCATGTAAAATATCATAAACTTTTTAAGTAATGGTTGTTACCAGAGAACAGCTAATATGATTATACATTAAAACCCTACTTACTCAAACCTCTTAAATACTTGCCATTTGTTGAACTTATTGCTAGGTCCTGATTTTTTATCCATGTATTCTTCCTTACTTAACCTCAGATTCCTTGAACCATTATTTCTTGAATACTCTACATTCCTTTAACTCATTTAAATAACCTCATCCCCTAAATGCTCATATTTTCACCCACTATCCATCTAGTGGGCTTCACATGTTCCGGGCAAAACCAGCAGACATATAGTAATAATACACTACTCTTATCATCCTGAGCTTGTTGCGATTAATTTTTATCTTTTATTTAAATAATTACATAATTTGTGTGTCCTATCATTTACTGAAAAAAGGCTTTCTACTAACAACGGTTTATTAGATTTTCCTCTTCCTGGTTATTACAGTCATTTTACGTCAGATTGTATAGGTGGTTGAGTGTATGTGTACGTAAAAAATAACATACCCTCAAAGTGTCGCCCAGATTTAGAGCTGCCTACTGCCCGTTTTGTTAGGGTTGAATTGAAATTTGTGGGTACCTCAGTACTTTTTGGTACCTTTTACTAACCCTATAACTCCCCTGTTGTTCTATGGGATCATATCTCACGGTCTGTTGAGCTTGCTTGAAATTCATCCGTGTGAAGTTATTGTATCAACTGGTGAATGTCAACTTCTTAACTGTTAACCAATCAGTTGCACACCTACATGAATTCTTGAAAACTTTTGAGTTATCCTAAATAGTATCATCTTATTAATTCTATACTGACATTCCCTCATCCATTCTGGATGTTATTTGTGTTAATAACCCTTACTTGACAGATAAAAGCTCTGTTGGGGAAATTTTTCTAGACCAGCTTGTTAAGTATCATTACCTTGTTTTTTCATTCTTAACTTAATTGTACCAAAAGGAAGTGCTCGCTTAGACGAAACATTTGATTGTATGACCAAGGGATTATGACAAATATAGAGAGAAACTCTCTAATGTTGACTAGGATTCTGTTTTATAAATTGATGATATAGATGCCTCTGTTGATAATGTTACTGTATTATTTCATAATCATTAATTTGAAAACAGAAAAGACTGTCTAGATTAGCTAAAATATCAGGAACCGTACATGATTGGGGTAAGTATAAAAGAATAAGAAACAAGTGTAATATGTAATGCTAAATCAAAATATGTTCCTTAACTTTGTGCATTACTCTGTAATATTATGTGGAAAGTCTTGGTGGAATACAGTAAGTAAATTAATGTTTAATTCTAGTAAAACATGTAATTTACCAACCATCGTTACTGATACTTCTATTATTACTGATGACAATGTAAAGGCTAATACGTTTAATTCTTCTGTCTCAAACCAACAGCTGATAATTCCAATGCGGAACTCCCTCCTGACAACAACGAACCCATGCTTACTTGTACATACAATGATATGAACGACATTATTTTTTTTTCTAACCTTAATTTTTTTTTAATTAAAAGTAAAAATCGCAATTCCAAATCCTCAAATTCATTCAAACTCAGCGTGAGACAGAAAAAAACATACCATCTTCTAACAAATACATTTATGTATACATAAATTTACAATCATGATAACATCAGTATGCTTATTTTTTATCAATCAATATCAAAAGACAACACCGATGCACTACAACAGTCAAGTAAATAAATGCGGTAACGTGCTTTTACCCTGGCCCGTTTCCGTCTGCTGGTTCGCCTTGCTTCACTGTCATCTCCCTCTTCATCCGCTCCCTGTCGTTTCTTTTCTTTGTCCTTCTCTTCCATTCTTTATCTTGCGTCAGAAAGGTGAGTTTGAAATATTTCAATACTTTTGAGGAAAAAAGAAGCACTGCCTATGTAAACGCTAAAAACACAAAAGGATCTCCAGACATACAAGCGGAAGCACCGAAGCATAAATAATAGTGGAGCCGGTGACGGTGACGGCACTGTGTTAAATACGGAACATGTGTGTGTCGTACTAAAAGTTAACTTTTAATATGAAATAGGCCCTGCCTAAAAACGAGCGGAGGTTGGTCAACGAGATGCACATTTTGAACTGATGTTTGTACGGAAGCGTGTTTTTAGCATTTGTTTTATTTTTCGAAAGATTATATCAAAACATCGGCACATACACATGTACCGAGTACTGATGAATCATCATCATCGTCGTCGTCGTCGTCTTCTAGAAAACAATGCATCATTATGATCAGGCGGTGGTTTGGTGGCACAGTTGTAACACACTTGTATTTCACCTAGCCGTCCGGGGTTCGACTTCCTGAAAGGATACAGGTTTCCTCCCACACTTGGACCCGTCGCATTCTTACAAGTGTGATTTTTATAATTTGAAATAATTCAGTTTCCATATGTAGATAAGTCATGCGCATAAAATCATGCAACATGAAAACAGACAAAGAAGAACAAAACAAAATAAGACAAGATAAAGCAAAGCGGGACATTATCCCCGAGACCCCCTGTTTAAAGGAAAGACATACAACTAAATATATATACACAAGTAAAAGTTTTTGATTTTGCATAACGTTAACTTTTTCTGTATGTTTTTTAAAACAATTTTCTTTATATTATCACTTTCAAATTGAGAACTTCTGCTAGAACACTTACTTGATGACTGCTTCGTAATTAGGCCAATCTGTTTCCATGGTGACAAAAAGTATTTAAATGGCGAACTTCTCCATAGCAAAAGATACTATTAGCTTAATAAGTGTAAAAAAAGTTTTAAGCAATCATCTTGAACGGCTTCAGAGCATTGACCCAGAAAAACTGAAATTTGTGATGAGGGTCATCAGTGGCTATGGTAACTGAAAATGTAAAAATAAAATCTTTGACAAGTTATCTATATTATAAAATGATAAAAAATCTTAAAAATAAATGTATGAGAGTTTCCCTTTCAGAATTACAGAGATTGCAGAGAGGACTACCTATCATCTTTGCTCTAAAAAAGAAATGAGTTTGTAGTCAAAATATGCTGAAAGACAATATAGTTTTAGTCGGATTTGTAAAAGCGGTAATATATATTTAGTCAGTTTTCATTATCGAAATCCGAATGCTCTCACCCACCGTTTTCTTTTCTCTTTGTTTTTGAGAGTTTTCGTTCTGTTAATTAACAAATCATAAAGTGCTTTAGAACCTTCAGTTTTTTAAGCAAACCATTGAAGTATATGTTTGTTAAATTCATTTGAATTATTTAAGACTTATAGTATGATTTCATTTCTACATGAAATATTGAAAAGATATTTTGTCGGTCAAAATCATTTTTAATCCATTCAACGGGTCGGCAGTTCTCATTGCGTGCTGCGGTAAGTGTATTGTGGATAATATTATGAAGTTCCAGCCACACTTCCGTTTAAAGTTGATCTATGGGCAGCTTGTTGGAGTTGAATTACCACACACAATACCATAAAGAGTTCGCTGTGTTCGCTATTAGTATGTGCCAGATGCCCACCCCTGGGTCCCCAGTGCCCACGGTGCCCAGAGTTGGGTATTTGGAATCGTTGGTATGTTTACATGAAAACTTATTACAGTGTCTTAGTGCCAGTTGGAAGTTAGAGATTTAGAGGGAGAAAGCTAATCTGACGTGAGCCCAAGTCTGAGACACTGGATGTGATAGTTCTGTACACGGTATATTACATTTGGAATTACGAATACACAAATTAAAGCTAGTGGTCATCCAGCACAAGACAGTCCTCATTATCTTATGAGACGGACATAGCTACCCTGCTGCAGGAACTCCAAAGCTTGACAGGGGACCTGGATTTTACATAGTCTGAGTAGCTCTTAGAAGTCTCCCTCTAAACTGTCAGGTTGCTAGTATCGCAGTGTGTTACCAAATTTACATCACAGTATAATATTAGCTGGTAGTTGTATGTTTGCAGTGCTGAACCGTTTGGTCATAAGTTTTGTTTCCAATAACCAGGTATGTCCTTTATAGAGACCAAGGATTTTTTTAACATTCTTGTCTAAAAATATCGTAAAATTCTTAGTTTCACTTGGCATGACTTTGTTTGCTTCACCAATACACCCTCCGTGTGTTTTAGCGACAATGCTACCCATTTGATCTCAAGCCTATTGAGAAACATACAGGAAAAATGTTCAGATCATGAAGTTAATTCTAACAATTTAATTAAAGATAAAACTATGATGACATACTTGAACTTACTTACTTAATTCTTACTATAAAATGGTAACATCATCCTGTTACTTTAGAGAGACCCGCCAATTGTCTACTGAACTGGTTTACACTTTAAAGAGTCCCACCAATTCTCTACTGAACTGGTTTACACCGTTAAGAGTCCCACAAATTCTCTGCTGAACTGGTTTACACCGTTAAGAGCTCCACCAGTTGTCTACTGAACTGGTTTATACCGTTAAGAGTCCCACCAATTCTCTGCTGAACTGGTTTACACCGTTAAGAGCCCCACCAATTGTCTACTGAACTGGTTTACACCGTTAAGAGCCCCACCAATTCTCTACTGAACTGGTTTACACCGTTAAGAGTCCCACCAGTTGTCTACTGAACTGGTGTACACCGTTGAGAGCCCCACCAATGGTCTACTGAACTGGTTTACACCGTTGAGAGCCCCACCAATTGTCTAATGCACTGGTTTACACCATCATCCATATTGCGTCTTTTTGACGTAGCAGAACCTGGTAAATATATATATATATAACACGACTTAGAAGCAGTTGTGGGTTATATCCCTATCATACATAGTAGTCTTCTAACTCAGCATTTCTACCAGTGCAATAACCGTATCTACAATTGAAAACTTCACAATTTGAGATACATGTTTCAAGACATTTCACACATCAACCTTGTTTTACAGGAAAAGAACTATTCACCGGTAGTACAATATATGCTTATATCACAAATACGTATACGATATATACAAATAACATCTGGTTATACAAACTACTTGGTGTATTGTAACTAGGTTGACATCTTATAGCGAATGAACAACAGAAAAAAAGGTTGTATCTACCATTTTATTTACGTTGAGGCTAAAATAATTTCACTTCAGTGAAAAGAATTTAGCATCATGTCTACACATAATATATTTTCACGTAAATGAAACTCTTTTTACCTTAAGAGAAGTAAATATTGATTTGCATTTTATTTTTATTTCGCTTAATTGAAATTCTTTTTACATTAAGTTGAATTTATTGTTTGCATTATGTTATTTTCCCTTGAAAATGTTAGATTCTCTAATGGTTCCGTTGTTGTTTACCTTGTTCTTCTATGGGAACGTGACATTGCTAACTTGAATAGACCACGGTTTACATGGCGGGTGTCATCGATGAAGCAGAACATATCTGGTCTCCTTGTACTTTTTCAGGAGTCTCCATGTAAATTTTTTTTGCTCTTATTTTGGCAAAGTTTCATCATATCTATGTTTGAACTCTGATTCTGTTAACATGTCTTTATCTTTGTGATTGTACTTGTGCAGTGTTATTGTTGCAGCTGATTATTTGTCTGCAAACATTATTACATTTCCTGTATACAAAAACAACTAGGCTTATTTGATAACGAAGGAAACTCCACCTATACATTATGCAATCTTTCTAAAGCTGAAATACTGACTAACCATGCTTCTGTATTACAATCGTTTAGATTGCCTCTTAATGATAAGGACACGTACCTTTCCTTGTATATCAACATCATGAAACAACGTTTTATTGCTGGCTCGTCTAGATGTTCAACAAATCCTTTGTCAAAACTACCAACCAACATTCTTTTTACTATCAATTATGGGTTACAGTCTTAATGCGATACTGTTTACTGAAGAAGTGGTGTTACTAAAGTATATAGATTTTAAAGAACTCTAAAGAACCTTTAACCAATCTTCAACATCCTATTCTAAAACATTTCTACCATAAGAATATTTTATTTTTACATCCTGTACACCAACATTTCCCACACTAAACTGATAGAACGCCTTCGTTCTCTTGTTATGAGAGCTTTCTTCTCCAAGAGAGGTGAACATTAGAATATATATATATATATGGTTATGAATTGTGCTGTAGATATTCTTAATGCTCGTTAGTTTGCCTGTTGGTTTCATTGTGCGATATAAAGCTGGACGTGTTTGATGCTCGTTAGTTTGCCTGTTGGTTCCGTTGTACGATATAAAGCTGGATGTATTTGATGCTCGTTAGTTTACCTGTTGGTTCCGTTGTACGATATAAAGCTGGACGTGTTTGATGCTCGTTAGTTTACTTATTGGTTCCGTTGTACGATATGAAGCTGGACGTGTTTGATGTTCGTTAGTTTGCCTGTTGGTTCCGTTGTACGATATAAAGCTGGAAGTATTTGATGCTCGTTAGTTTACTTATTGGTTCCGTTGTACGATATAAAGCTGGAAGTATTTGATGCTCGTTAGTTTGCCTGTTGGTTCCGTTGTACGATATAAAGCTGGACGTGTTTGATGCTCGTTAGTTTGCCTGTTGGTTCGTTGTACGATATAAAGCTGGACGTGTTTGATGCTCGTTAGTTTGCCTGTTGGTTCCGTTGTTGTAAACCTTGTTCTCATTTGAGAACGTGACATTACTTTCTTGGATTGACTAAGGTGTACATGGCGAGTGTCGTCACTGAAGTAGAAGACACCTACTCTTCCTGATCACTGTGTCTTATTCTCCTTGTAATTTTCTCAAGAGTCATTGTGCCAATATTTCTTTAGTTAACATTTCGTCTTAGTTTTATTGAATTTGAGTTTGGATTTTGATTTTGTTGATATGTTGGTAATTTCTGGTTGTTTTTTCACTAGCATTGATTTCGGCGTACGAATGATCCTGTCCTGATTCTGTAAAGGGAGAGAACCCTTACATATGTTTGATGGTAGACATTACATACAAGTCATCAAATTTGCTTCA